AACACAGCTGTGCTTCTTTGAGGTGTTTACCAAATGACCCAAAGAGTGACTTCCACATAGGAGGGTTAATACAAACAATGAATGTCCTTCTCCATCTCCTATCCTTCGATTTTTCTGTTTCCCAAAAGTTTATTTAGGGGTTAAAAGTCCCCTTAGCCAACCAAAGCAGTTGTGTTTGGACCACACTTGACTCAACAAAACGACTGTAGGATATGTAAAACAGAAAAAACAGCATGCTCAAATGGAAGTTTCCAACTTCCCAACAACAGGATACAAGATCAAATTAGATTTTGAGCAAATCATGTTTTCGTTGTTTTTCACGAAACAGGTGTACAACTAAATAACTATGTACCAAACTATGGCATTCGGTATATTCAAAGAACCTTAGTATCAAGTCTTCGGTATATTCAAAGAACCTTAGTATCAAGTCTTCGGTATATTCAAAGAACCTTAGTATCAAGTCTTCGGTATATTCAAAGAACCTTAGTATCAAGTCTTCGGTATATTCAAAGAACCTTAGTATCAAGTCTTCGGTATATTCAAAGAACCTTATTATCAAGTCTTCGGTATATTCAAAGAACCTTAGTATCAGTCTTCGGTATATTCAAAGAACCTTAGTATCAAGTCTTCGGTACATTCAAGGAACCTTAGCATCAAGTCTTCAGTATATTCAAAGAACCTTAGTATCAAGTCTTCGGTATATTCAAAGAACCTTAGTATCAAGTCTTCGGTATATTCAAAGAACCTTAGTATCAAGTCTTCGGTATATTCAAAGAACCTTAGTAACAAGTCTTCGGTATATTCAAAGAACCTTAGTATCAAGTCTTCGGTATATTCAAAGAACCTTAGTATCAAGTCAGCATTCTTTTCCAGAACAGCACCCACATGGCCTAAGAGGCGATTTTGCATCAGTCTTTTTTGAAACAGATAACAGCATTATGTTAGTTGAAATTGTGAACAACTAAGAGATCTGGCAAAATTCCATTACAGTGTATACATACTATGGCTTTCACCAAACAAAAAGCAAGTTGAGCCACCCTGGGCACCAAAGCCAGTAGCATGATGGAGTGCTGCTCCACCTGGCAAAATAGGGGTTTTCCTCCGAAGTTGCCTTCAATCGAGCATGAGTCCAACTATGATCAGCAACCAATCAAAATTCATTTTGCACGATCTTTTATGACATCATTGGCCTAATATTGAACGCAAGGGTGTGGTGTTTGGAGATCTTCATACATAATGTACATCTAAATATACATGTACATAAGCACAAGAGGATGTAGGGAGAATTTAGCATTGTAAATTAAGCAGCGGAAATGCCACACATTGCATGTTCTTGGTTGATCATTAGTGAATTCTCACCACATGCTTTTTATAACCATCGTGTGATGTGGGGCCATCATAAATTTACTGTATATGTACGCAAGTACATGGACATTTACAAAACATACATGTAGATATGTGTACACAGACATGTGCGGAGAACAGGTGTGGCATAACCGTTATCCACTTTTTGGTTTGTAAACTTTTTTATCAATTTTTTGCATGCATTCCGTGCACTATTATTGCTATGCCGTATTAAAGCTGAACGTTCGAACCGACCAGTTCGGTTTGGTTCGGCTTGAAAGTGCCATGTTTGATAATTTTTGGTTTGGTTCTGTTGCACTACTTTATGTGGCGACATTGATGTATTCTTGCTAGTTCCCAGTTGCAGTATTTAAGCAAAATTTAAATTGTAGACAACCCTTTAGTTTGTTGGTTTTCAATATAACTCCAACTGTGTTTTCTCACAGCAAAATCAAAAACTGCACAGCAACCATATCCAGAAGCAGCGAGCTACAATTCAACAGACTGCTCAGAAAGCACAGAGCACCATTATGGATCTCACTGTGAGTAGCAGTCCTGATGGACAGCATTTGCTTGTTTGCACCCCTCTCTGTTGATAATCATTGGTGTAAGATGTTTCAAAGATGTGATAGTATGCATTATTTAGAGAGCGTCTCTAAATTCGGAACGATCGGAACGTTCTCATTGGAACGCAGTGTTCTCATTCCGGAATCGGGTCAGCCGTTCCGTTGGGAATGCGACGTTCCACACGGAACGGTGTTCCCTTGTGAGAGCGGTCTAACGGGAACACGCATTCCCATCGGAATGTCTCCATTCGGATAGCTTCATATCGCCCATGTACAAATCTTTACTTAGTCAATGTCCAAAAACGGAGCCTGCCATGACAAACGAGCGTAGGTTAACTACTTTACAGATGTTTACATTAACACAATAAAATTAATGGTGTCCAGATACACTCTAAAGTCATTGCATGGTAAGCTACATGTATGCCTAGGTGAATATGGAAAAGAAAAACAGGAGAAAACTTAACCTTCATGAGGAGTAAATCACAAAATGCTACGTTCGAGCTGCCATCCTTCAGAACAGGGTCAAGGAAATGAATGCCAAAAATCTTTCTTCCTGATTGTGAATGTAACTGCAGGACCGGTTCACCGGGATCCCGCGTTCCCAACGGAACGCTCCCTAGAACGGTCTGGAACGTGCCTGCGATGCGGGCACGTTCCAATGGAATGCCAGCGTTCCAGTGGTAACAGTCCAACCGAATGGGAACATTCCCGATTTTTGAGACACTCGGTTACCTGGAAACTTTGAAAATTCCAGTGTGACCTTCGTGAAAGAGAAGGGAAACTTCAACTGAATAGCTAACAAAAGATTTTTTCAAATGGGTTTTTTTGCATCCAAATAATAGTTTGCAGTGAGTCAGTTTTTGAAATTTACTGTGGCAAGATTGAGATTGTCATTGCAGGAGTATTCAGTTACGTTGGAGTTGTCATGCTAGTGTTGTTCTGAGTACATGTATTAGACAGTGTTTAGTTGTGTTCGGTGGTCCCACCATGTCTGGGACCCGTAAGTAACCAATCATTACAACCTAAAGTGCATTGGTATTCTTCAATGCTGTGGTAAGAAATGTATTACCTTTTTCACCTTTGTGCGCAGTGTCTCGGCCCTTTGAAGTTGAGACAAATCCAATTATCTTCATGTAGCGTTTTGGTTCCTCTTTCTCTGTACAGAGGCAGCTTGCCATTGTGGAGAAGGAAAATCTGGCTCTTCAGGCCAAGGCACAGAGTAAGGACAGCAGCACCACCTACCGCATAAGAGAATTGGACATGCAGCAACGCAACAATGAGGTATGGCATGTCTTCACTGTACTTATGCTCTTTTCCTACCCGAGTTTGATTTTGGTTTTTGCCAGTTGACCATAGTGCAAGTTGCCTCCATAAAGGTGCCTCGTTATGTTCCATCCATACACCTTTGAGAGCTGAGATTCTTTAAGGGGTGCTTCATTAGTTTTAATATCTTGTGAATAGGTCAGGTTTGTCAGTAACAACCTGTAGAGGATTTTACATGACTAAGGCCTTCATTTTTATGGACAGAGACAGAGAAAGCAACTCAAAGAAGATATAAACAAGAACATAGGCTTGCAGCAGCAATGCAAGCAGAAGCTCGAGCAGCTGATGGGAACTACCCCTACTACTTCCATGAATGTAAATCCCACCTCTGCCACCAAACTGAGCCACCCAGCCCCGCTGCCAGCTCTGCCCCCTCCCACCACCAGCTCACCCCCCAAGCCCGATCTCAATATCACCAAGGTGGAGAACGGCATTGTGCTGTCCTGGAATATGAACCTGGACGCCGCTGCACCCCAGATTGAGGTCTACCACCTCTACGCCTATCAGGAATCAGACGCCCCACCCAGCACCAGCCTGTGGAAGAAGATTGGAGAGGTGCGGGCTCTGCCACTGCCAATGGCATGCACACTGACCATGTTTCAGCCGGGCAGCATCTACCACTTTGCTGTGTGTGCAGTGGACATGCACAACCAGGCTGGGCCTTTCAGTGATCCGTCCAGCATTAATCTCCCTCGCAGTGACTAGTGCTGCATTACTCATGGTAAAAACCTGTACTAATAAATTACGTTGAAAACCGATACAGAGAATGTTCTAGACAATGCAATTTACTCAATTAGACTAAAGAAGTGCGGAGTTCATTCCAAACTGCACTATGTTGAAGATGTTGAAAGATTGTTCCCCAGTTACAGAATGTAAAGAATAAAACCAGCATGCTGGGTGTACTCAATACTTTCATTTTTCAATGTTCAAATTTGTGACTGTAACTTCATAAAACCCTTGGAATCTGATTTTTGGCAGCAAGGAGAGGGTGGGATTCATACATGTAAAGGCAACAATGGCACAAGTCAAATTTGGGAATTAAACACTTTCTGAGTCCTGTGAAGTGGTATTTTACATACCAAGATCACTTTCTGTCAAAAAAAAACTCATCTTTAATACCTTCATGAGAGTACATGTATCAACTTCATTCTACCACCGTGAGCTTTTAGTGTTCCACTATTTTAGCAATTCCAATATGTCAGCCTACAAATTCTTCAACAAGAAGTTGTGGAAGTGTTAACAGAGCATTGAACATGGCGGTTATGGATTCTTGGATTACCAAAATGGGAAAAAAATACGAAAGTACATTAACCTTTAATACCCTAATTCTTTAATGAATTACAGCATTTTATTCATTTTATTTAGCATTTAAAAAAGTATTTTTATACATATTTGGATAAGAATTCTCTGAAAAGGCCAAGTATTCAACAAAAGTGGAATTTCACAATTGTTTGGGTTACTTTTTTGTACTTTTGTAAAACGAAAGAATAGTCACATCATTTCTAGTACATGTACACATATTTTTGGTTTGAAGAAAGGAATAACAATATTATTATTTAAGTCCGAAATTCTGTAAATTCAGCCCCAAACTGATTCTGTGTGATAGTATGTGTTCAAAAAGGTTACCTGTTTTTCATGTTCCATTTTAAGTTTGTAAAAATGTTTGTTCCAAAGTGTTTTTTCTGTTTACTTGATTTTTGTGGTTTTCCTGCATTTGTGTGAATGGCTTTGTGATCCCACAAATCTTAGGGATGGAAGCCGAGAAAAGCCACACACATACATGCACTGGTAATTTGAAGTCAGTTGTTTGAGACACATACACTCGGATTTCAATGTTGTGAAGTACATTGTGCATGTAAAATAAAAAGTTCTTGAAAGAGGTTGGCAGGACCATGTCAAGGACATTTTCTCCTTACTAGTCCCCCCTACACACACACACCTCCCAAGAGAGTTATAAAAATAAAAATGTAATAAAAAAGTTTTTCACACTATTGAAGGTTGTAAGTATTCCAAACTGCCATGTACACTTCTTTATTGTTTGAGGTTCTCTTCAATTGTTAGACATTAGTTTGTTTCGTATAAACAACTTTGTGTACAACTTTGTGTAATTTTAAAGTTTCTATGGTTAAAATGAGACTTAGAATATGATATAAAGAAAACGATTTTAATTCAATGAGTCTGTATCAGTGTTTTCTTAAAGTTGTGTTGAGAATTTCAACTTCTCGTTTCATGTTTTGTGGTTTGTTGCAAACAAAACAGGTTTACTAACGATTTGTATTTCAGCCATAATTGTAATACATAAAATATTTTGTTGTAAACAATATTTCACAATTCACAACACAGAGAGTGTGTTCAATATACATGTATTCAGTTTTTCTGAAAATTACAGTACTGTTCTTGATTGCAGTTCAAGACGTTCTAGCATGTTCGTGATACCAATTTTAAATTTACAAATAGACAATTTTTTTTTCATTTTAAAATGTATACAGTGTACTACCCATTTAAATTTGGCATGAGGAAAGGATTCACATGGATAAAGCTTGTCAATGTAGAGGGTATTCAGATAGTATGCGCAAGTTACGCGACTTAATTCCAGTAGGAAACAAGCCCATATCCGATACAAATGTTCCAAGTTCAGTGATGTTGGAATTACACACTTGATATCAAAATCATTCATTTTTCACATTTAACTCCCACATTTCCAAACTAATGTCTATTTGTAATGGAATGAGAATCTTTGGAAATTCATTCTGCAGTTTCATAGTACAAATGTATGAAAAGCAACCTCTTCCCAAAGTAAAATCTTTAAACTGATTACGTTGGGTATTTCAAAAGTGCTTAATTACAGTAAAACTTCAGAGGTCAAACAGGTGTTTGGATTTCACAAGTCTGAGCAGACCTGTCAAGAACTGAGGGCATCCTTCATAAACTTGGTTCCATAAGCACGAATGGGAAGTCGTAGGATTCCGGGAGGCCGACGTGGGAATTATTGAATCTGCTGGTCCACTTGAAGACCGGAAGGCCGTGACTAGTGGTGGGACCACTGATAGCCCATGCAGACATAGTCTTAGCCATCTGTAGATTGGTAACCTGCGGAACCGATAGCATGGCGAGGATGAGAGTGAGTGGGTAATCCCGATGAGGAAATGTGCTAGCGTTAACTCTGAGGGTGTGTGCTGGCTTTTAGGGAGTTTTACAGACTTTCCGCAGGAGCGAAAATTCAAGCTGACATTGGCATTCTGAGCAGGGTTAGTGCACCGGCTGATTGGACTACCCTTCAGGTGAATCAGAAAGACAATTGTGAAATAAGACTCCAGGGGACTTCAACCCCAGGCAATTTATGCTTAGATTAGTGCTTAAGATAAATTGCAAAAGGAGGTAACTGAGGTACAGGTACGAGGACTGCAAACTGAAGACAGTGCCACCTTGTGGATTAAGAAAGGCCATACTGGCTAGCCAAGCTTACAATCCCACATGAACCAGGATATGGGAGGGACAGCTCCCCCATCTTTATGTTGGTCACTATTTGAGTGGAATCTCAGGAATTCTTTACAGACATCTGGAGGGATGTGCTAGGTAACAATACTCGAGGGTTTGTACAGGAATTGGACACATGGGGGGTACCCCTCCCTCCCATATCTTGCTGGTTGAATACAGCTCAAACTGGCCAACAGTCGCATCTCCTTCAAAAATGTCATTACACAGTGGAATCCAAGTTCTCTTTGTGATAGGTTGATGTTCCAAGACACTTCCTTGACTTCTGTCAGGGTTCAAAGGATGTTGGTTAAACCTAGTGGGAGGGTGGGAACCCTCTCCCCAAATGAGCAAAATAATGAAGATAAATATAATGCACATGCATATATACATGCACAATACTATTGGGCTTACTGTCCTACTATACATAGGACATTATTATGCCTGCTTACTGGCTCAAGAAAAAATAAAATTTCTCAAACCATCGCAGGTGCTATTTATCTTGCTATCCAACTCCAATAACCCTCTCTGCCCTCACAGGTACCTATCTAACCACAATAACCCTCTCTTCTCCTTACGGGTACCCAATCAACAAGAATAAGCCCCTGTGTTCTTATGGGTATCTATTTAAAAATCAACCCCTCTGCCTTCACAGGTACCCATTTATTAAGCAACAATAACCCTCTTGCCCTCATGAGTACTCCTTGGTGGAGAGAGCAGACTGACAGTGAAGTGATCCAGGGCTCTGAACATGTGCCCCGTTGTTGGACTCGAACCCCCTGACCATGGTTGGAAGTGTCAAGCCCTAACTGCTAGACCACACATCCCACACAAATTTATATGTCCCCAACAAAAAGCTATGAATGAACATATTGCAAGGCACAGTTTGCATGCATTCGGTACTCCTTGAACAAGATTTTCCCACACTATTCAGGTTTACATCCTCCTAACTTGCTAGTACATGCATATGTTTTGTGTCTGGTTCAAACCAGGCAGCTGATCCTGTCAAACTAGGTACTGAGAGGTCAATTTGTTGGGACCACAGGTACTGCACATGTATCGAGGGTGGTAGCTTCGTGTCATGCTAGCAAATCTGGAAGTTTTTCTCTAGCTTTCAGGGCAGTCCAAGCACTAGGCAAACAATGTACATGTATTTTTAAATTACAGAGGAGGAAGGCAAAACACAACCATGAAATCAAAAGCTCCACGACACAAAATTCTGTCAACAGTCCAATTCAGTTCCAAATTGGTTGGCCTCACCTTGGTATCTGTGCAGCCCCCAGCAAAGGGATCAGTGGCTCTGAGGTCAAAACGAGAGCAGATAGACGAACTCGGATCCTTTTTCGAGTAAGTATCATGAAGGTAGTCTGCAAAAAATTGTCAAAAAGTAGCTTGCTCAAAACTTCCAAATGTACAAATACATCCTCAGAAGGGGGCAACTTTCTACGTGTATGGTAAGCATCTTGTATGTTACATCTCCCGTACTTCATCTTTATTCATGATTTTGGCACACCTGTAGGATGATGCCGAAATTCAACAGAGAGGATTTTCAGAACTACTATTCATGGTAAACTTTATTGACATGTTAGCCATGAGTTTTTTTGTCTAAATAACCACAATCTACTAGGACTGACTTCCGTGCTGGACTAGAAAGACTCAAATACAACGATACTGTAAATGTCTTGTAATGAAGATCTTGCCACGTTTTTGGCCTTTGTGCCACCTGAAAACTTCCTGCAGACATTTGAATTTCTTGGCAGACAAAATTTCTAATGAAACAAACACTATGACTGCACACCGTTGTATCGCATGATGGCCATCATTGACTTCATGTCCGTGACAGTGCCTTGGTCACGCCGGAAAATCTCAGCTCGTACTGTCAGCTGATATGAGAAAAAATCCCCCATCTTCTTCTCCATCATTGGGTAGCCACTCATGTCATAGATGATCTCATAGAAAGGTACATTGTACGAGGGCCAGTAACCTGTATGGCAGCAGAAAGGATTGAACAATGTTGAACAGATGGTGTCCAAATCTGACCTATTTTGATGGCAGCTGTGGATTAATTTCCACAGAAACCCTACCATGACAACCCACATGTACAGACATGACAAACTGAAACAGTACAATTTGTCAGACTGTTGGAAGTTTTATTGGCCATCTTGGTCTAGTTCCGGTAAATCAATGACCAAATTTGATATTTTTGCCAGCCTCTGCAACAATGAAAGTCTTTGGTGAAGATCGACTCTCAGACTCATACATTGAAAAAAAACAATGAATTAAAACAGTACTATACAAAGAAGATGAGACAAAAAACGTCAGCAAGTGGTCAATTAGTTGGACATCAAATCTGATGTCTCGGCATTAAATCTGATGTCCCAGCATCAAGTCAAATAAATTCAGCTCCAGTTCATTTATGGCACGGAGTACTAGCATGTCACTATATGTTGTTAGCTGTTCAGGTATTTTGTGTCTGACAGGAAGCTGAGGCATGTCTCTCACAATATGAGAAATGTCTGTAAGACTGACTGTTACTGACCGCGTTGACTGTTACAAACTGCATTTGATGTGTTGTGTGTGTCAACTCAGCAGCCAAGCCAGAAATTGGTCATGTAGAAATAGGCGTTGTTCCAGAGCAGCCAATGAATGGCAGGTAGGATTACAATCATACTTAAAGACCTCTGACATTAGTCTGATAACTGAAGGAACTAAATCAGGTCCACACACCTGCTCTGAGAATAGCTGTTTGGTCCTCAGACACCACCAGCCCTGGGATTTGCTCTACTACGGTCAGCGTCCCATCCTGGAGTTCCCCCGATATGCGCTTTCTGTCTACAACCATGTACTGATTGTTGTAGGTGCCTGAAATTAGATTTGATTTACAAGTTCAGGTTTTACTAGAGTACATGGAGCAGATGCAGAAGTTATATTGTAGTGCCCCAAGTTCCATCACTGTTTAACCTGCACATGATGGTTTTGCAAGGTCATCGTGGTCATGTCCAACACAGGCTTCCAGAGTTCCAGAGTAGAGTGCTGTACGAATTGTCAGCCCAGTTCTAATTGATGTAAGCCCACATATTTGCAACCAGCAAAAGCTCAGACCAAGCTCTAGATGCATGAATTATACCTGAACAAATTAAGTTTGGCCTTTGTCAGGTTAGAGTTTGACTCCACGATCAGCAGGTTAAGGGTGAAGCTACTTGCCATATTACATGCACAATGGCTGCCATGCACTTAACCTGAATTCACATACATCTCTCTACCCAGGAGCATTAGCCAGGGGAGTACAATTACATGTATTCTCTAACATCACAAGCCAAGAACAGACATTATAAGACAAGCCTGATGAGTCAAAATGGCTACGGATATGCAGACTCGAATTTCAGATTCTAATTGTCTAATTGTTCTAATTGACAGATTTCCAATAATTCTGTTGTAGAATTTTACTTTCATTTTCCCAAACACCCCGTCCATTTTATGGTATTCTCCTTGTGCAAATTGTCCAGAAGAATCTCCATACATAGACTTGCCGCACGCATGGCGCAGATGGCATAAACTGTCTCGTATCCAGGATTTACATAGTAGGCATCACTTCTCAGCGGGCATTATCAACTGTTAATACACAGTTAAGTTCCACATTGTTGAATAGGGAGACTGTCTGAGGTATTTATGATTGTTCTTAATCATACTCCACCCCAGGAACCTTGCAGGCATAATAATGGAAGACTATATAATGAAATACCCAGAGGTGCCCACCCAAGAGCACATTAACTAGGAGTCCAAAGTTATTACATTTCTATTTTGAGTGGATATATCTTCATATTGTAATACAAAAAAAATACACAAAGTGAAAATCAATAGATGGAACAAAATGTATTATTGATTTGCTCACTTTGGAAATGGCACCTTTTTTGGCAGACCCCCGCAACAATAATCCCTAAATACCTGTAGTGTATAATCAAGGCAGAGGCTAAGCCAGCATTGGACCCATCCGATACTGTTATCAGGGCGTCACTCAAATTTATGCTGCATGTACTAGTGCATGCGGACTAGTGTGTCCAAGCGATGTGTTGGTCCTACACAATGCCACTGTTCCACAAAAGAGCCCTGTTTTCATTTAACTACCAGTATATACAAAAGTATTGCAATAATTATAAAGAGACACTGACAGCTAGCATAATGACTCACCTGAGTTGTATCTGGCCACGAGTTTTCCCCACTCCGCCCCACTGCCTGCCATCAGGTTGGCCACCCGAACCCGTTGCCATGCCAACAGAGACTCCAGCTTCACCATCTTGTACAGGGTTTGGTTAAAGATGTTGTTTGTTGTCTGCAACATCAGCATGTCACTACCGAGAATGTAGAAGTCATCCAAGGATTCCAACATACCTTATAAGGTAAAAAATAATAAGATTTTCTCATTTCTACCTGGTGCCTGAAAAGCTTAATTTTGCAAATTCAGTGACGGCATTAAACTTTTCCTCTGGACCGTAGAACTGTAAGGCCCCTCAGATAAACATCACTGTTAAATTACCTGGCAACAAAGCTCGTATGTGCTCCTTGCCACAGCAAGAGATGCTGTGTTTTTAGATAGTAACGACATCTCTGAAGGTACCAGGCTCCTATACACACTTGGTTGAGCTGCACCAAGCATGCACAACCACCTTCAGCTTGAGCATGATTGGAAAACTTCCCATTAGCCCGTCTTGTCTTTGCTAGTGAGGGAGGATATTTAGTGTTGAGAGTATACAGACATGTAGCCAATATCTCCACAGCAGTTTTGAGAATCTTATCTTTGTCATGTCTAACTAGTCTATACGTCTATTTATAAAAGTTATTACAACCCCCCTGCGGTTCGAAAAAGAACCAGATGGTACTCGATGTTTCGGACAGTATCAGGAGAAACACAGAGTATCCCGCAGTTTTTTTCAGAACCACACATACTCACAAGAGATGTTTCTGCATGGTGCTGTACAACTTGCCACCTTCACCACCACAAGCTTCATAGCTCAGGTTGGAGGTAATTTGGAATAATACTTGTAATCTAAATCTAGTGTGATCTTTAAACAGTGCCTTAAAAGATCACAAATTAAGTACACAGATAATGACAGTTGTGCCATATGGAGATAAAATCATGGGTATAGCATGGTCCATTTAACATTCATTTAAAATCCACGCTTTACCTCACCTGGATAACTGGAAAATGACATGGCCTTTGCACTGGCACCGCGGAATGCAAGCTCAAAGTTGTAGTGCTTGTAGATGCGCAGCATGCTGTTGTAGAAAAACCAGGCTGAATGTGACATGAATAGGTCCTCAAAGCCAGGCAGAGCCTACATAAAATGGTATAGAATTCCATTCAGATTGAATGTACATACCTTTGCTCACAGCAGATTGGGTTCAGAGACACTAACTAATCATGGGCTGGACGTATACACTGCAAGGGTGAAGCAATATTCATGACCATTTTAATCTCTTAAAAGCTCACAAATGTACCACTGGCCCTGGATTTTCAACGTGAGTTCATCACACTGAGGATGATTTGTCTATGAACTCACAGTTAACATCCTGTTGCCAACAGATACTATTACATGTGTAGGTGTCAAGAAAGTGTGCTAAAAGGCCTACAGTGTTTAACCTAATCCTCTTCACCAGGAGTACAGAGTTGGGTCATTAAAAATTGATCCTGGGGAAGAATCCCTGGCAGGATTAGTCTCATGAGGCCTAGGTATTTCCTCATAACAACCCTGAGGAATTTATTTCATGGCAAAGTGGTTCTTTAATAAGAGTTCAAGTGATAAGATACTCAAAGTTTCCCAATCTTTGACTGAACGAAAATACTCCCATGCTACATTTCAAGTTAAGCGATGAAATGAGAAACATAACTTTATATTGAAAAATCATCTCCAAGGGGCATTCTTTGAACATGTATGTCAACGAGTCACGCTGTGTCTCCCTTGTGCCGAGGCTCAGTGGGTGACCGTGAACATTCATGACACTCTATGTACTCCGGGAGTCTTTCAAAGTCATTGAACTTGCAAGGAGGAAAGGCATTTGGATAGTTTATGACTCAATCAGAGGAAACTAACCAAATTCCATTCTAAAATTGTCAAAACAAGACAAGGTGGGATTTGCAGTGCTCCACATGGGCTATAAATGCTTGGAAAATGTGCCAACTAGGCTTGCTGCACATGAACCCGATGCAAACATTCTATGTCTCCCTGGACCTGATGTGATGGAAAAATTTCCTCTGGATTAATCTTGAGAATAACGTAGACTGGGTTTCTTCGGGCTCCCAGTATTAAGATGTAGGCCTTCAAGGTTGGTTGCCTTTTCCCAAATTTCTACTTGAAACATATCATACCTTTTTTTCACTTTTAGACCTCTGCTGTTGTGGCTGTTTTCAGTTTTATTTATGACAATTTAGTCAGACTCTGCATTTTTTATCTTTCTATACTGAGTAGGTTCTTGCAGATGATGTGATTGCATTGACAGATATAATGTCAGTTTCTGCCTTCAGAGTTGCTTTGCATCCTTGGATTTTACAGTTAGCTTAGTATGTTTTTCAGGATAAGTCTTCTTTGATTTTTATATTCCTTTTCCAAATTTGATGTCTTGTAATGTTCAGTATTTCAGTGCAGTTTTATTTAGTTTTTTAATGTTTCATCTTTAATATTCTTTTCCTCTTTAAAGCGCTTTATGACTTGGTATAAAGCATTATAAAATTTAAAGCAGGACTGGCACTATACCACATCTACCACTACCACAACAATTACAACAGCTACCACTGCTACTACCATACCACAACTACCAGTGTTGTAACCAGGTCATTTTTCCCAAATGTAGTCAGGTCTCAAGTCAAATTTTTCTAAGTCAAGCTCAATTACGAAAAAAACGACTCAAGCGACTCAAGTCCAAGTCAGTGACTTGAGTAGAAAACACTGACAACCACTACAACATGACCACTGTCACAACAACTATATGCACATACCATCGTTACAACTACCACATACCTCTACCACAACCACTTCAACATGACCACTTTCACAACTACATGCACATATGTACCATCATTACCATAACTACTACAGTAGCTACCACATCCCTCTACCACAACCACAACACGACCACTGTCACAACAACTACATGCATATGTGCATCATCATTACCACAACAACTACCACAACCACTACAACACCACCACTGGCACAACTACATGCACATATGTGTACCACCGGTTACCACAACTACCACGACCACATACCTCTACCACAACCTCTACCACAACATCTACCACAACTACTACCATTGCACCTAAACCACAGATTCAGCATTTATTAAGCTATATGGGCGGGCAAATTGATGTTCTCTGCAATAAATTTTGTCAGCCAGTGTGAAACAAAGAACCTGACTAGCATCTTCATATTCTTAATATATACTTGAAAATCAATCAATCATTCCATCAATAATTCCACTGATCAATAAATGAATCTATCAACAATTTAATTTCACAAGTACTGTTTACCCAGTGTTGATAGGATTGATAGCCCACGCAGAAAAACACCCACAGACTTTTTGCAGATGTCTGACCACTTACCCACCGAGTTTTGGGGATAGGGCTAGCCAGTTCAAATTTGATACAGCAGAGAGTACAGGAAATTATGTCTTTTGGTATGTTTTGTACTTTTGCATCCAGAAGATCACAGCAAAGTCTGGAAGCTCAATTGTACCTTGCATCTGGGTTAGGATACTGTTTGCAGTGTATAAGATTAAAATTTTATGGACATGCTGTAGTTAAACAGGAAGCACATTTTTGTACCATTGTAGTGGTCAGTGAATCAACTACCCGGTACCAGATGGTCATCAACTTGAAGGCCAGTTGGCCCATTGATAAAATTTGGTCCAAGTTCACATTGGACCAAAGGGGGGGGGTTTGAGGGTATTAAATGTACCCACAAGTTGATCTTTTTTCAAGGAATGGTATTTCTTTGAAATGAGGTTGTGAAACTTGAAACTAAAACTTGTTATCAAACTTGTTATCATGCCGGAGAATTTTCCTCAGTCAGCTCCCTGTCTGATTGTGAGAAGCTTTGCCGAGTCTGAGAATAAAGACACCTGGATTTCATGTTGTTCTGTGAGAGCTACATGTATGCTTCTCTGACCAGGACAATTAGTTCTGGGTCTATTCAATGAGACTCAAAACCAGGGCTACAAAAAGTCTGCTTAAAAGCCAAAGACAAGATTGTTTACACACTAGTAGTTTGTTTCTTTAATCCTTTAAATAAAGAAAATATTTGGACTTCACATAAACAACAGGATATCAAGCCAAAAGAAAATGAAATATGCAGAACGATTCAGCACCTGCTTTACACCTGAAGAAACCAGTCCCTCTCATGATGGCCACCTGTGACTGCAAATAACTTGCCAAGTTCAATGAACTGACTCCTGTGACTTAACGGGGAATCCAAGCACTCTTCTGTGGAAAGATGGTTTCCCCACAAATATGTTGAATGATTTATTGTCTTTCATGTTCACTTTATTCCAGACTAGTCAAGTACTAGAGATGTTGGGCACATGTTAGCATGAGTTGAGCAACAACTTGTTTACAAGGTTGATTTCATTTAATTTTGGCTCGTTTTCGGCGCAATTCATTCCACCTGGGATTAACATGTCTTAAGTCAACCATTTTTTATGGAAGTGCAGTGCTAAATGTATACTCGCCATATACACGTATGCAAGTTGTACTTGTACATACATGTACATGTGCGTCTACCCTAGTAACCCTTTCGATAGTTTCTCTTACAACTGACTTGTTGAAGGGTTGTTGTGTTATTTCTGGTTATTTTACTTCGATAAAGTTTGTGCTAAACTATGCGCATCAATTCTTGCCGGATATCAGCACATTATAAATATTCTGTATTATTATTAACATTATTCTTCTTGTTATCATAGCTCTATAAAAGCACTGTCCACTTCATTAGATGCACTCCATAAGACAACTAAAATAAGGCAACATCTTAAGACAACTTTAATTAAGTCTGGTATACACGTAACTTGTAAACAACCAAAAGGAGAATATACACATAAGTCATGTTGCAGCACAGTAACCTCTGGTCCAATGATCAAATCTACCGAATTCCCCTTTTCCCTCTAGCGAAATGAAAAAAAAAAATAGGCCTCCACAATTGTTGGATGTTGGGGATCCGTTTCAGGTAATGTAAACAAAACGTGATAAAAATTAGAAGCAGACAAGTACAAGAAACAAATGGTTCTTTTGAATTGGCTCTGCTGAATCCTGAAACCCTGAACAGCACCAACACAGCCAATTCTCTCAACTTTGCATTACTGGAACTCTGTCACCACATTTCCAGTCAACATCGGTCATTCAACCGCAGTAGCCACTAAGCCGGCAGACAAAGAGGCAGCGTCAGGTTTTCTGTTTAAAGCACACCTTTGTGAATATACATTGACATTTTGCCAATAACTGTGTCAAGGACTCATGGCTGGAGCTCACACTTAACAGTTAGGGCAAAAGTTTACATACACTTTGTAGAAAACAGTTTTCTATAATTTCTTGCTGCTTGAAATAGTTTTGCCGACTTTTTCTTTATGAGGTCAGACAAACTGTATTTAAACTTAATGTTAATAGTGTGTACTGTTCAATTGAAAATACTCAAGAGACATTTTTTATGGTTCAACATATTAATATTTCTGAAAAATCATTTTTTGAAAATTTACTGGTATATGTACGTGTACAAACTTAATGTTAATAGTGTGTACTTCTATTGAAAATACTCAGAGACATTTTTTATGGTTCAACATATCAATATTTCTGAAAAATCATTTTGTGAAAATTTACTGGTACATGTACATCTGTCCCCCCCCCGGTCGTTCAAAAACACTCCAGGAAGTGGTACACTTCATCTATGAGATGTGACCCACCCACCCAAATATGTGGCACTAAATATTAGGGTTGGAGTATGTAAAATTTTGATTATTTTGTAAATATATATATATGACTCACACATGTAGTGTATGTCTCTGGGTGTTCTTATTTGAGGCATACACTATGTACAGTACATTAAGTAGAGGCCCATCTTGTCTGTCCTCATGAAAAAAAAGTTGGTAGGAATGAGTGAAGTTGTGAAATTTGAGGAAAACTGTTTTTGTTCAACCAGGTGTACATATGTACACTGTACATGTACATTAGTACAAGTATAAATGTATATGCAAATTATCCATTTCAATCTATCATTTCACAGTTAATCTTCCAATCTGTGGGGTACATGTGATGATGGTTTTTCCCTCAATAGAACTTTGCACCACTGTCAACCCTTCTCAAATGTATGAAAGCTATTTGACATATATATCTTTTAATAAGACAATTTGTATCCATGATAAATGACGGTGCTGATGTCATTCCAGATAGACACTGTTCATTAGGAAGAAATTTCAGCTCAGCTTGTGAACCCAAAATTTGCTAACTAGGGTAGATATTTTTGACAAAACTTTGCTTCCTGGCCCACAGACGTGAAACAAGAACAAATCACCAAGGAAAGGAACTTTTAAGACAGCAAAATATGCACAGTCTTGACAATTCATTTTGCTGAAACAACAAATATTTAGGATCTCTTCCCTTGGATAACATTACACATTTGCTCATTCATATGCAGATTTGTTTAATCTTAAAAATACAAAATGTTCCATAGAACCCTTTAAATGGCATAAAAGAACACTGAAAATTTGGTAAAACTGAAAACAAACACTAAAAATTTGGTAAAACTGAAAACGAACACTGAAAATTTGGTAAAACTGAAAACGAACACTGAAAATTTGGTAAAACTGAAAACGAACACTGAAAATTTGGTGTTAAGACAGAATGCACAGATACATTTTCAAGGATTTATTTTAAAATTGCATTGCTTGGACCCTTTCAATTCCACTCTAAACCACTTGAAATCCTGTGAAATCCAGTCTCTCTTTTCCTAACAGGGACTCTTAATCCCAAATGCGCATGTCATCTTTTTCTCTGCAACACAAATTCCAATTCACACAACGCACAATATACATCTAGTTCATGAGCCCATCTTCCAGAACAATACTTCAAACCCTTCCACTGTTTTACATGGGGTCATGTCATTCAGAAAACAGTAGCAATCACACTGTCAGATCTGAGTTCTTGGAATTGTTAAGGATTCAAGTTTATCATTACCAAGGTCAAAAAGGAGTAAGCAGTAACTCAAAGTTTGTTGATTTTCCGTGCAAATTCTATTTCAAGGGGGAACAATAGAAGACAGTTTTTCAATTGCAGCAAAAATCCCCAATTTCAATGTCCTGGATGTCTATCTGAATAAAATTCTTAATCCTCATGTAAAGCAGCGTGTTCTGAGTTTTATATTACTGCCTAACATGTACATACCTTGATAAGAACTGAACAGTGCCCACTCATTCGGAAAAATTTCTGCAGCTCATCAGGCGTTGCCTTCTGGATGTCAGGAAAACTTGACTGGTTCAGGACATGCTGCAGGTCTAGGATATCACCAATGCCATTTAAGAACAACATCGCAGACAAGTCCAGATTAGGCAGAGTCTGGCAACAGTGTAATTGGAAAACCACGAAACAACAGTCTGAGACAAATAATAGTAAAATATGAAAATTGGTTTTGCAAGGCATCCAGCAAAGCATGGAAAAACCACAACAGAAAATCCAAGAAATAGTTTTGGAATGTTTTTGCAATGGAAGTGTAACAAACCAAAACAAGCAAAGTTTTAAAAACGGCAGAGCATGGCAGATTAGGTATCAGACAGTCTTCTAGAATATCCAATATAAGGTACCCCGTACCTTGTTCTGGCAGGATACCATATTGTAACCGATGACGAGCCCGTCCAACTGCGCTGCCACCAGGGACAACCCTTGCCAAAATGGATCGTTTGGATTCTTAGAGATCATCTCTCGCATCCACAAATTCTGCTCCATGAGAAAGGCCATCAGCTTGGCTTCAAATGCCGGCTTACCGGCCAGGAAGGTCTGGGCATAGTTGATGTAGTTTTGGTGAATTCGTCTGCAGAAAGATTAACAAGAGGAAAAAATGTAATAAAATGTTCTTGAAAAGTATGACTTCCTTTTAAACTTTGTCCACGAGCACAACATGAGCCCTTGTTACGAGTCAACGGTACACAAGGCTAGTTTATTATTACACAAACAGACGACAAAGAACTGGACAACTCTTTACTTCATTCAGTTTGTCAAGCTCTGAAGCACTGCAAACTTCAAGATTCTGTCAAAAAAATTACATTTCCCATGTCTCTTAACTCACTTCAGCTTTGTAAACATACGATAATCTAAATCTTTAATCACTTTCAAAAGTGTATCACCCAAATTCTACATACATGTACATGTACGTGTACATGTGCTTCGTTACGGTGTTGAATGATGGTTGGTTCTTTCAAGGTTACAATCCAGCAGTGGATCCAGTGAAGGGGGAGGGGCATCCACCTTTACAGATTGAGGGAGGCATCTCAAATGGAGGTGGAGCTGTAAACCCAAGAATTTAAGTCTCACTCAAGGCATTTTGAGTGATAATACATGTGTCTGTCTTTCAAGTCAGTTCAGATCTACTGTCTGCAAGGTGTTTAGACCAAATTCTAGTATCTGAACCATACCTTGAACTTATTGAGCAATGCTTCATTGCTCTTTCCCCTATTACCTGTTTTTTGTGGGAGGTGGGTCGTCATGTGGTAGGATGGCTCTGTAGAGGTGCTGGTCACCTGTTCCATCGCGCCATTCACTGGCTTTTTAAGCATATTCTTTTTTGCATCCATCATCTGTTTGTTGTTGTGCCATGTCAATTGTTTTATGTTTTTAACTTCAATTTTTTGGTTACATTTTACAATGTATTGAATTTTTGGTTTAATAGCCAGTGGAAAAGTGCAATAAAGTAAATAAAAATAAACAATTCCTGACCTTTAAAGCTTGCAAATTACATGCATAATAATTAACACAATTGTTAAATCAGCCCAGTTTGGATCTAAAGGCATTTGAAACTCACTCTCCGGTAAGAATTCCTTCCATCACACCGGCAGCAGTCATCCGTGTCAGGTCCTCCTGGAAATCCACGGAGGGGTTGCTGAATTTGACATTCAGGACACCCCATCCCGTCTTATCGGAGGTGTCGTTGAAGGTTCCGTAGGCTAGGGATCCGTCACCTTTGTCCAACTGGCCACATTTGACATAGTAGCGCCGGTGCTGGTTATCATAGTAAGCAGTCCCATTCGTGACCTCACCTGATACAATAAGATACACTAGTGCTGAGTCTGATTTGGGCATTTTCTAGTAATCAGTATGAAGGACAATATTAATAACTTAACAAAAGAAAAAGTGGAATTGAAGCATTTTACCTACCAAACTACCCACAGCCTTGAAGCCATGTCTGTAATCTGCAAGCGTTTACACCACAACTACTGTAAGTGAACCTACATGTATCTGACTCTACAAATTGCACTGTTCACATTTGGCATGTTTGAACATGTTCGGGCAATCCTTCGTGATCATTAAGAAAAGCAATTTGTAGAGTCCCAGTCAGACTAAATTTTTCTCTGTAGGTACTGCACCTCTGGCTTCCTAGGCCTACACCGATGTGAAGTTAATTCCTCGTTCAACGTTCGACATTCAGTGTTGAACAAGTAACCATTTGATATTGCAAAGTTGAATACACTTGTAACCATTTGACATTAAGGATGCACACCTCTAAAAGCGATGAAGTGCAAAAGGGACAAAAGCACCACACTCCGCCACAATGCACATCCATTCACATGTACAGTGTACTCCATTTACACTGTAGGCGCCGTTTCAACAATGATGTACACAATGCACACAAACAACTCTCTTCCACAAGGGCAAAAGGTTTTTCAGGGTCAAACAAGCCCTGAAATGTTGGCAACTTTTTTTACCGCAGTGTGATTATTAGAGGAAAAAGGTTAGTTTTTATATAGTTTGTTTCTTCGAAACTATTTCAGTCAATCAAAATAATATACATCTATTCCACGCCCCAGCTCTTTAACTTTTTCTTTTCAAAGTGCTTCTGTACACTTTAGCGACCCCCACTGCCTGCATTTCAACCAGGGCAAAGATCTTGTCAGTGGAGAAAAGGGAATGCCTCACACCACACTTTCCCCAAACTGAAATAAAATACCCAAACCCCATGGGGTTCATTACCTTTAGCACATTGTTCCTGTTATAAGGGAACAAAATCAACAAATTCTACTTTTTTTTAAAACAACGTATCTAAACAAGTTTTTGGTGATGTCCTCTTTCATATCAGAATGGAAAAAAAAACAGGGCTTTTTGTTTTTGAGGGAAATGTTTGGGTAAAACGGCAGCAATGCATGACCGCCCCAAAGAGCTGTGAACAAAATATTAGCAAATGTAGTCTAATTTCTTGAGCTGGATGGAGGTTTGTTTTGATGAATCCAAAATGCCCGAGTCGGATAACCAGACAAAAAACAAAATGGTGTGACTGACTGAGTGGTTGTTGTTTGCCAAACTCGGGTTAGAAATTTGACTAATGGATTTGGTAATGGATTTACTAATGGTTCCTTTTGGTCAAAATCATTAGTTTGAGAAAGTGGACTTTGTTTCCTTATTACAGGAACAGGGTGCTAATGGTAATGAACCCAACCCCATGGCCCTCGTGAAAATTAAATTGAATCGGATCAGTGGCAACTCCTAGCAACCTAGGGCATGGTGTTTTTGAGGGTCAAACAAGCCCTGAACTAAAATGTAGTTGGCACAGTTTTTTGTTTTTTTTTTGTCCTTTTTGCACTACATCTCTTTTAGGGATATGCATCCTGAATGATAATGTCAAACAATTACTTTACGTTTAACAATAAATGTTGAACGTCAAACGAGGAATTAGTCACTTTTAAACATCACACCAGTAAGGGAAACGTACATTAATTGCACATAACATGTAACAACAGGCGCCATTTAATTATAAATAGATGTGTGCCTGCATGACAGTTAAAAACTGATAGTCTGATGTGGAGTTCTTCCCTCAAAGGCTTTGATGGTGCAATTCTTAAAAAAGAAAAGAAAAAAAAAGAAAAAACTCCATCGTCTCGTATCTCCTCCTCACAGTACGCGTACACGCGGCCCATGCAAATATCACACCCCTCTCGACCACATGATGATTGAAGTCACATGATGACCCGAAGTGATCAGTAAGCATGGTAAGGCCAGCTGGCTGAATAACGTTCTGCAATTTGTAGTTTACAAACAGCGGGCAGATATCACTAGATCCATCCCTCTGTGCTTACCATGAACCGTGAAAAACATGTTTATTCCACAAGAGAGCAGAAGAATGATTTTGGAGAGTGGCATTTTGGCAAATTTTCTAGAGACAAGCGCCGTACTAACTTCAGTCTACATGTACATGTACATGTACCATAGAGCCACAAACCCATCCGCGCGAGGCCGGCTGTCTAACAATAATAGACTCGACGTAGTCTAGGTATCACTTATTTTAGCCCGCGCTGGCCAGGGGAAGCTGGGAGCCCAGCCGTGAAAATAGCTCCATGGTCTTCAACCAAAAATGAATTTGAAAAAGCAAAGTACAGTCAGGCCTATATTGACAATTTTTTAAGCACGACATCCT